ACCTTTCAATGGATAAAATTAGACATGAGAAGATACTGAACCTTTATGTATTATAGGTCATAGGATCATCCTAGATATTGCACCTACACAAAGCATTAAAAAATGGCTTCTGGAGACAAATCATTTCAATTCTTTTTGTTTTTGTTAATCCTTGCCTAAGAATATTCCTCCATTGATTTTTTTTTTTTTTTTTTGAGTGAGTGAAAGGGAGGGAGGGGAGAAACCGAGAGAGAAACATTGATGTGAGAGAGACACATCAATTGGTTGCCTTTTGCACATGCCCTGACCCAGACAGGGATTGAGCCTGCAACTGAGGTATGTGCCTTTGACCAGAATCGAATCTGAGACCCTTCAGTCTATGGGCCAAGGCTTTATCCACTGAGCCAAACTGGCTAGGGCTCATCTCAATCCTATAAAAGTTATAACCGGGGTAGAAAATAAATTTTTGAATGCAGAGACAGCATGCTTGTTTTTTGGTCATGGAAAAAATGTGACAAAGGGGGTGACATGTAAGAAGTATCCTGAAGGATCTGTAGGCTTTTGCCAAAAAAGAGAAGAATGAGAGTGATGGCCTAGGGCCATAAAATGGCCTGGTGCTTTCTGGAACCTGAGACTAGAATATCAGGGACAGGGTATATGTAATAGCAGGAGAGAAGTCTTAATGAAGGAACAGGATGACACACAAGACTATGGCCTTTTCCTATAGATAATTAGATTTGCCTTTTGGGTAAAGACAACTCTTGTAGAGGTGTAAACAAGAGACAAGAAGGAATAGAGAGAAACAGAGGCCTAATCATGCCTTGCAAATACCCCAGGAAGGCATGATAAAGCTCTAAATAACAAGCAGCTGGAATAGAGGTAAGTCAAGATACTTATCAGTTACCTACTGCTGCAAAATAAAGTCAAAAACCTCAGTGGCATTTATTCCCATAGGTCTGATGGTCAGTTGGGCTGCAGTAAAGCTGGATTTGGCTGAGCAGCTTGGCTGAGACAACTATGCTTTACATGTCTCCTGTTCCTCTTGAGACCAGCAGATAGCCCAGGTTGCTTTTCATGTTTTTAATGTTCATGTTGAAAGTACAAGCTAGCACATAGGAACATGTAAGACATCTGAAAACCTAAACTTGGAATTGGCATACCATCCTTTTGGCTTTATTGTTCAAAGCAAGCCACATGGCCAAATCTAAAGTTCACAAAGTGAGGAAATGTACTCAGCCACTTTTAGCAGAAACAGCAAAGTCAAAGAGCAAAGGACAGGAATACAGGTAGAAGTGAAGGACTGGTGACAATAATGTACTACTGTCCCCTGCTCTCTGGCCCACAATAATTCCTGTTCCTCTCAAATGCAATGTATGCTCATTCTCATTCAAGGACTCTTAAGAGTTGTATCCAATCACCCACAGCATTAGTCTGTTAATATAGTCAATGACATTACTTTTCTAATGTTAGCCCAAATTTGCATTCTTGAGATAAACCTCACTAGGTAAAATACATTATGCTTTTTATATAGTTGGATTCAAATTGCTAAAATTTTGTTTACAACTTTTGCATGTGTTTATAAATATTGAGGTGTAGTTTTGACTTTGGTATCAGAATAATGCTGGCCTTAAAGAATGAGTTGGAAATTATCCCTTTATTTTCTGATGGCATTTGTTAAGAATTAAAGTATTTGCCCATTAAAGATTTAAAATAATTCACCAGTGCAGCCATTTAGGTTTGGCATTTTGTCAGGATTATCTGCAGAATCTGTAGCAATGTTACTTCTCTCATTCCTGATATTATTTATGTCTTTTTTATTCATCAGTCTGGCTAAAGGTTTGTCAATTTTGTTGATATAAAAGAACTAGCTTCTCATTTTACTTATTTTCATAATTGATTTCTATTGCATAATTTCTTCTTTAATCTTTATTCTTTCATTTGTATACTTTGTGTTTCAATTGCTGTTATTTTTCTAGTGCAAGTTGGAAGCTGAAGTCACTGACTTGAGTCCTTTCCTTTTCTAATACAGATATTGATATAAATGTCCCTGAAAGTATTTGCTCTAGCTGATGCCTATAAACAATAATTTGTCTTCATTTGCATTTAATTCAATATATTTTTTAATTTATTTTATATTAAACCTATTTGTCTTTATATTTAAAGTAAATTTCTCAGATTCAGTATATCCTATCCTATATAATAAAAGGCTAATACACAAATTGACCGAATAAGGAATGACCCATCACTATGAAGCACACTGACCACCAGGGACAGACACTCAATACAGGAGCTGCACCCTGGTGGTAAGTGTGCTCCCCAGAAGCCAGACTCAGCCATGCATGCAGCAACACTAACGATGTCTACTGGGCCTAAACCTACCCAGAGGGTTCCTGGACTACAAGAGGGCACAGGCTGAGGGATCCCTTCCCTGCCCCTGAGTGCACAAATCTTATGTACCAGGCCTCTCGAAGTTGGATAAAAGACAGTCTAATAAGAACACCTGATAATTAGACTTAACATAGTTACTGATAGTGCTGTTTAAGTTTTCTATCTTAACTATATATTTTCTTTTTGTTCCCCTTCTTTTCCTTTTTTCTTTTGGATTATTATGGCTATATGTTACTATCTTTGTTGGTTTATTAGTTTTAACTGTTTTTCTTTTTGTGATTGCTTTAGGTTTTATATTATACACTTTTATCATAGCCTACTTTCAAGTAATATTGTCATCAGACATTTTGCTTTACTTATGTATCAATAACACATTTTGCTTTACTTATGTATCATTTTTGCTTTAAATAGTAAATTAATCTTTAGACATAATTTAACGAAAAAAAAATCCATTTGTTCATATATACACAATTTTTGGTGCTCTTCACTTATTTGAATAGATTTCTACCTGGTACCATTTTCCTTCTGACTGCAGGCATTATTTACCATTTCCTTATGATGAATTCCTTCAGTCTCTATAGTTCTGAAAAAGTTTTAATTTTAATTTTTGAAAGATTTTTTGCTGGGTATAGAATTCTAAGTTGGGTATTTTCTTTTGATACTTTGAAGAGGTTGTTGCTTCACTATCTCTGACATTATCTTTGTTCCTCTGTTCTTTTGACTTTCACTGCTTAAGAATTTTCCTTTGTCACTGGTTTTAAGAAATTTGATTGTATATGCTTTGGTGTTAGTTCTTGTGCTTAAGGTTCATTGAGTTCCTTGGGTCTCATTTGCTTTTGTATCTCAGGGATCATGGTCCCATACTGTGCAATATTCATTATTTGAAAACTGTTTCACATATATTGTCTCTTTAAAAAAGTTTCAAACAGATAAACTCAATCCCTATTATTTCATCTTGGTATAAGGCAAAATTTAATTTCAGGTTTTCCATATATAAAAATTTTGTTTGTACTTATTTAGTTCTTAAATTATATGACAAAAATGTTTCATCTATACACATAAAGTTACTAAAATTGTTTTATTTATCCCTCCTCTTTCAATAAACATCAAGTGCATGTACAGAAAAAGGCAACAGGAAAATATTAATGAATTTAAATAAAGCATGTAGGCAAAACACACTTTTGTTTTCTAAGTCTGCTTGATAATGGTATATAAGGAAACTTGTTACAAGTCATAATGCTTCATAATCTGCCAGGAAAAAAGATCACAGTAGCACCCTTCTATGCTTCCATACAAATGTATTCTCTAAGCCACAATAGGAAAAAAAAGTAGTATTTCTGCTTTTATTCCTTGAAGTAGTTATTAGTATGCTTATACTTATTAAAAATATCCTTAAAATTTTCCACTGCTTTAGAAAATCATAAAGTTAGTAAGCTAACTCAATTGCTCTTTTATTTTAGTATTTTCATCTCAGAAGTCAAAACTGGACAGGAGTAATATATGAAATGTACATAGTTTAAGTCTTTGGAACAAGAGACTACAAGAAGGTAAACAAGCCAATAATCTGCCTAATCTTATAATGATTAAAACTCCAGATCATAACAGGGAGATGTACACATCCACCTATTGTCAAAGAGTTATAAATCCTTTAGACAATCACCCTTTCTAAATTTGATGGTAAGGTCAATAATATAAAAATGTTAAATACAGCACACAAAGAATTAGAGAAAGTTAAGGACATAAACCACAAACACAAAAAGAAATCCACACTTCTCATTTGGGAGAAAAAGAATTGCACTAATACAGTAATATTTAGTATCTACTATGAAATTTTCACTGATTTTAAGTTGAACCATGTTCATTAAAAATTTGTAGTATAATTTTGCTTATTATTAATTCATGAGATAATTAGTAGATATACAACTCTGGTCAAATCTTTCAAATCCTTAAAAGTTTTCATAGGTAGGAAGTTTGCTAAAAATAAAACAAAACAAAAATAAACCAAACCAGAATAGAGATTTGTTAGAAGTACAATCTAATAACATAAATGCAATTGATAAAAGATAATTTGTGCAATTCAAAATTCCAAAAAACTGTCATATCAAATGTACAAATAATAAATAGTAGTCATACTTGACTTCATTAACAAAATAATTAGTAATTAACCTTGTTTTATTAGTCAATTGGTTAGAAATACCAATTGCCATTTTAAAATTACTTTTTCCATAAAAATAGAATGAATATCAAACTCTTTAACCCCAACCATCCAAAAAAATTGGAAAGGCAAATTTTAATCAAAAAATATATCGTTTAAAAAGGTGATTTTAAAACACCCATAACCTATTTTTTTCACCATTGTCTTATGAAAAAGGGCACTTAGTGTTGTCTTAAGCTTTCAGAAAAATAAAGATCCTACTGACTTTCCTATAGGCAAATTATACATTGTACAGCTTTTAATATAAAAATATAAATATTTTTGAGTCAGAGAGAAAAAACAGTGGTTGGTGTAAAATCCCATCACCCTTTTGCTTGAAAAATTTTCCCAGAGGCCATAAAAACAACACTGATTCCATGTAGTTCTGTGTTGCCAAAAACTTCCCAAATTAAAAAACATTAAGGTATTCAGTGTAATTTCAAAAGTGGGCTCGCAGTCTTTTGTTTTCTTCTCGTAGTCTTTCAATTTCAGCCACTAAACCTTCATTTACTGAGTATCTTTCCAATAAAGAGTGCATTTCATTCTAGAAAAGGACAAAAAAGCTTTTTAAATTACTTGGCATGTCACATTTATTTGGCATGTTTTACGTACTGTCAGCAATCATTTCCCTCATGTTCAATTAATAAGCGAAATGATATTTCTCAGATTTAACCACTCTTACTATTTTATTCATGTAAATCAAAGACCACTAGTAAAACTTACTTATTTGGGAGGCCTATATTTGCACATTTGAGGAGCATTTTGCGTACTTATTAAAGAAAAAAAGTTGTAAAAAGTTGCCTTAACTATCAAATGTTAAAAAGAAGAGTAACTAGCTAAAAACTATTTTACTTGTATTAAATTTTTAAAACTCCTTGTTTATTTATCACAGGAACTAGATATTCGCAAGTAACAATCATATCGCCCTTTAATGGATTTTGCAGATCTACAACTACACTCACTTAATATAACATGTGTCATACATACCAATTGCATATGAAACTGTTTAATCATCTCCACTTGCAAATTCACAATATCCCTATGACATGCTTCTCTAGGGAAGAATATAAAATACTTGTTAGAATTGTAACAGTTTTACCAATTCTATATCATTCAAGAAACTACTTAAGCTTTCTCATTTTCAAATTATTGGGTGTTAGCAACTATTATTACACTAATAAAAATACCAATGCACCTAGCACTTATTTACTATGTGATAGGCACTCTCTTGTACTTTAAATGTAAGAACTTATTTAAGCTTCACCACTAGTTATAATTATTACCTCCTTTTTACTAATAAAGTAACTGAGCCACAGAGCAGTTATAACTAACTTACCCAAAGTCATATAATCAGTAAAGAGCATACCCAAAATATAAAGCCAGGCTATCTACTTCCGCTATACTACACTACATTCCTTAATACAGAAATTATCGAGACACAGATTTACATTACATTGTTTTAACTATTATCTATGTTTTAGCTATTAAAAAATACGTCTAGATAAAATGGGAAGATATTATTTGGGTGGTTATAACAGTTTATTCAATAAAATGCTATTAATCCATGCTTACAAAAGAATACATGAAAACTACTAGTATTAAGTATAATAATAAAAGAAACACTCCGTTACCTACCATAAAATGTCTAAGCTAGAACAGTACCAAAAATAGAAACTGCCTGCATGCTGCTCTCTTATTCCATCACTTAACTCTTGGGAGAAGCCCAAGAAAGAAGACAATACTACTCTCGTGAATTTTGCTTAAGCAAAAAAAAAAAAAAAATGCTTTACAGTACATTTGTATAACATAGAATCTCTCTCTACTGAACACATTTTCAAATGCTTGCTCTGAGCACTACAAAAAGGGTACCACATACTATGTAGTCTTGAGTAGTGTACCTTTAGAAAATAATCCAGTATCACATTTTCAGGATTCATGATCTATCTATCTGTAATTCACTGATTTATACTGATGTATACATTCTCCTGTCCATTGGCATTGGGTTGTTTATAAGTTTTACGGTTACTACCTGAAGTCATCCAATGTTTCCTGTATCATGTTCTGAATAAAACGGATTTGAACGGATGTCAATGGTGCATTTGGCCGATTATTTCCAATGGTATCAGCTATTTTTTCAGACAGTGAACTGGCAACTCCAGCTGTGACAGAAGATGCTAACTTTGGATCTAAAACAAAACAATGGAGAAGATATTAATAGTCAACTTGGACTAAGAGTCATCAAACATTTCTAAATAAGATTTGGCAATGGAAAACTTGAAAAACTCGTAAAGAACAGTGTTCCTGTGACATTTAGAAAAATGCGCTGTTTGGAATACAAATCTTAAGAAACTTTCTATGACATTATTTCTAATAGTCATTTATCTATATATATATGAACTGCCAACTGACTAATGTAGTAACATATGACAGAGGAACTGATCTTAAAGAATCTCTAAACCTCTTATAAAAGATGAATGTGACAAGCTTCAGCACAAACTAGATAAACCTACAGAGTACATGAGTAAAGTAGTGCTATAGGCAAAGCCCCAGAGTTTAAGCTAATGCAATGTATCTATAGAAACCCTAAGGTAAAACACGGATATCTTTATAAAAGAGTTGCTTCTACACAAAGAGTTGTTTGGATGGATAACTCTTATAGCTGAGCCCAATATCCCTTTACTAGTAAGTGTGGATCAAGTTTTTAGGGTCTGCGGTATTAACTCTACAAATAGGACTTTATAATATGGGGGCAGAAAAAGATGCTAATATAAAATAGTATTGAATGTCAACTGTAATTGACAAATCAAAAAATAACATTAAAAAAACATGTTGGGATGAACATCTTTGCAAATAAATCTTCATCTTGATTTTGAAAAAGACAAATTTTAGGTAATTGACCCATTTTCACAGGGTTCTATACCATATTCCTATCTGAACCATAATTATATCAAGACACCTACAGATGAGATTGAAAATGAAATTCACACTAAGAGTGTCAAATAAATGTGGTTTTATTTAATCATTCATGTCTATTTTATTGTCTTCTAGTAAGAGAGTTACACTAGAGAAATGTCATAAATTTTAAACTCCTTGAACATTTAAAATTTTGTCTGTGATCACTCCTTTCAAGTTAAATAGTGAGCGTTTCCAACTTAACACTTTCAAATATTAGCAAGTTTTATGTACTTACTTGGAGCTGAGGATCCATTGACTGTGGATTCATATAGTAACCGGGCTTCCTTTTCTTTTTCGGGCTTTTCACATTTCTCAGGACTTCTTGCTTGGTTAGATGATGGAGAGGTATTTAGACTTCCAGTATCAGCACCGGAGATCAACTTTGCAAACTTTACATTTAAAATAAATAATTAATATATAAATTCTGGCTTTACCCATATCATCCACATAATTTGTACCAACTTTCTTTTATTCACTGGGTAGGGTCAGGTAAAGGGAAAATAAAAAGGGATATAGAAAGAGAAAAAAAAATTGCTAGGACTACTGGCAAATAAGTCAAGTTTACTTATTAAAAACAATATCAATAATAACATGATAAAGAAAAGTTCATTTACTAAGCATCTGGCTGTTGAATTTAATTTAAAATAGTAATCACAGGCAAACACGCCTCCCCCCCATACACACACATACACACACAATCTATCATTTATAATTAGTCAGAAATATTTGAAAAATAAGTTAAAAGACATTTTGTACTTCTTGAATGTTATCTTTACAATATCCTAAAAATAAATAGATATACTGAACAATAGATTCAGACTTCCTGGTAATATTTGATCATTTTAAATATTTTCATAATAAATTAACTACTTTTAGTACTGTATTAAAGCACCATCAATTTACTCTAAGACTTAGGGTAATTGCCTTGACCACTAACTTGGTGCTTTCTGCTATAATGGAAATACATCCTAAAAAATTCATGTATAAAATATTACTACACAGATAGTTATATCAAGTTTCTTGTTCTATATATAAAAAAAAAAAATAGAATACGACATCTATTGCTATCCTCATCATATCCAAAGATAAATTTCAAGGGTATCCTTTAGTTTTTAACACGTGACATCAAGATTGAAGAGTATTTTTTTACCTAGTGAGTGCACAGCACTGTCACTAGTTAGGACAAACGTAGCGACGGCCTTGATCATGCTTGCTAGTGATAACACACAGTGAGCTCAGTACCACTTTCAGGCAGATACCTGTTTGAGGGAGTCTCTAGGTTCCTGTTTTCCCGGATACGTTTTCTTAAGTTCAGCTGTCAGATCATGATGTTCATTTTCTTCTTTCCCAGGAGATCCCATAAAGACATTAAAGGGACTAGAATGTAATACTGAAGTGCCTGAGGCTCCTTGATTTTTTCGTGAAGGAAACACTGAGTTCAATTGTGTTAAAAAGTCAAGGCCTGAAAAAGAGGAGGAAAAATGCTGTGTTTGCATATGATGTTCTCCAATGTTAGATATTTAACAAAAGCATTTATATGACAGACAGGCTAATATGATGGAAAGACAAAGGATTTGGATCCAGAAACCAGGTTCATCTGTCAGCTCTAGCCCTTATTTGATGCAAAAACATTGTAAAACTCTCTGTTACTGCATTCTGATCTGCAAATATATATATATATATATATATATATATATCCCTAAGCAACTGGTCAACTGTTTGGTCTATGACATGCACTAACCACCAGGGGGCAGATGCATCCCTATAGCAGGAGTGCTTACCAAGTGGCATTGGCAGCAGGCACCCCAGGGCCATGATTAGCAAAGGGGTGCCCGGCCTGGGCTTGGGCTCCACTCCAGCCACCTGCCGCTTCATGCACTACTACATTTCTCAGGGGATGTTGGACTGTCAGGAGGATCAGGCTGAAACTGACAGTCCAACATCCCCCAATGGGTCCCAGATTGCGAGAGGACGCAGGCTAGGCTGAGGGAACCTACCGGTGCACAAAACCATGCACTAGGCCTCTAGTATGTGAATAATGATATCTATTTCCCGAGTGGTGGGGCTTAAAGGAGATATTGTATATGAAAATACTTTGAAAACTGAAAAACACAATGAACATTTTAATCAGTATCAGTTTTTGACAATGTTAGTGTTCATTTGGTTCACCCAGTGGTATATGTCTGGGCAGGCAGCCTCTGAGAAGGCCCTAATGATCCCTGACTTCTGGCATGGATCCAGGCCCTCGAGTAGTCCCTCCCTTTGAATGTGGGTTGGACCTAGTAACTTGCTTCTAACACAGAGAATACCTTCCAAGCTTATGTTACAAACACACTGTGGTTTTCCATCTTGGGTGCCCTCTCTCACTCTCCTGCTCACCAGCTCTAAGGGAAGCCAGTTGGCGCGTTGTCAGCTTCCCTGTGGAGAAGCCCACAGGGGAATAAACCGATTAATGTCTTTGCGCCTAGACACATGAATGAGCTTGGAAGCAGCTCTTTGCCCAGTTAAGTCTGGATGTGACTGCAGCCCTGGTGACACCCTGATTAAAGCACCGAGACACCTAAAGCCAAGGCACTCAAACTAAGCCATGCTTAACCCACATTTTATGAGATGATAAATGCTCTTTTAAAATTCAAAATGGTAATTTGTCACACAGGGATAGATAACACAATATCACTTACAATTTTCACTAAAACACTTCTCAATAGTTCTTACCATCTCCTTTGCCTACGGACTCATCACCTCCCTTGTTAACCACAACATCTGTAAGAAAATTAGAAAATCAAATTTAAAAGACAGTAAAAAAGATGCTATAGCAGTTTAGAATTACTATTCATTCCCCCAGAGTTCAAAGATAATAATTTTAAAAAGAAAATCTGAGTAAAGTTAAAGCTAGTCCTCACATAAACTCCCCTTTTCATTCTTTTAGCTTCATAGCACAAATATAAAAAGACAATTCTATGACACTAAAGGCCCGGTGTGTGAAATGCGTGCATGGGTAGGGTCCCTTAGCCTGGCCAGCAATCAGGACTGATCAGGTTTCCTGCCTCATCACCCTCTCCTCCTCCTCCTCCTCTCGATCTATCAGTGCCCCGGCACCGGTCACCTGCCATGTTCCATGCCATGCCCTGGTGGTCAGTGCACATCATAGTGAGAGATCAAACTCCCATTCTCCCGGTCAAACTTCCAAGGGGACACTTTGCATATTAGCTTTTTATATATATAGGTAGTTATTTTAATGACACAAGTATTCTAAGAAAAGCAGTATAATGAGGACCAAAGATTTTAATTCAATTCTGCCTATATCACTTAATAGTTTTGTGACCTTGGACAAACGTTAATACGATTAAACTTCAGTTTCTGCATCTATTTAAAGGGAATAATGCCCTGTTCATTTCTCAAGGTTTTATTGGGAATCAACTAAAATGACATAAAAACATTTTGCAAGATTTACAATGCTATAAAACATAAGGTTTTAAGGTTTTATTAAAATCTATTTCAATGGCAGAAATATTCATTTACCAATTACCAACCAAACATTGCTTAAGTCCATTTTAATGAGTTAATAGAAAAAATGGTCAAATTCATCAGAATCTCTAATGGCTAATGAATTTGATCGTCATAAATGATTATATTAGTTGGACTATCGTACATCTATCCTATCCTTCCATCCATCTATCTGTGTGTGTGTGTGTGTATGTATATATACAATATATATATATATATATATATTTGATAAATACTAATTAAATATATATACACACACTTAGTAATTGTATAGCACACATACACTTTGAAAAGTTATTAGTTTTCCCCTAAAAAAGCAGAAGTATTTAAAAGATAAAGAAATTGAGCCAAAACAGATTAAGCCTTTTACTAGTTGAGTTTCATCCTTGTAAATCTCTTGATAATAAAAGCAGTACTATATTTAGCATCCATGTTTTCTTTTCATTAATAATACAAAATTCTAATAAATGAAAGGCATATGGCTCATATACTAATAATATTTTTTAATAGCTAAAGTAATTAAAGAGGAATTTCTTAACTTATCTGGAATACCATTAAGAGGATTTCATTCATAACTCACAATCCTCCACAAAGCCCCTTCCTACAGTCTTCAACTCAATAGTTAACTCCAGGGGTTCTCATAAGCCAAAATCCCCAACTGGGCTCTTACTTCAGAAACCTGTTTCAACTCCAGTGCAAGCCACTTTTCCCTCCTTCACCCACATCCTTCCTCTCTTTCCTCTAACTATGCAGCCTGACCTCTCTTTGTCTTGAAAGAAAGGAACCTTTCCCTTTTTCATTAGGTGGAAGATAAAGGAGTTTGACCTGACAACTGAAGTATTTTCAGGCTAGGGTAAGGCAGAAGACACTCAGTAATTCTATATAATGACATATGTATTTGTTGTTTCTAATTAAGAAATTAATTGGAGAAAATCTGGAAAATAGATAATTTTGAAGTAAAAAAAATGAATAAAATCAGAGACACATGTACCAATTTAAACAACCTGCTATTGTTGACATTTAAATTCATTCCAGTTTTTCACTATATTCAGTAAACAAACAAATCTTTCCGGCTTTTCAGAATATTCTTAGGTAAACTTACAGAAATAGAATTAACAGGCCAAAAAGTATGAGTATTTAAACCTGCCAAAATATCCCCTAGAAATTCACCCATATTGTACAATTAGCAGTGGAACTATCCCATTAAGGTTAACAAGAATGAACATTAATAAAAAGAACACAGCCAAACAATGGGCCTAGTTCAAACAGTGTGAATACTATGATAAATAATATTTCCATTCAACAAGGTGATAAAGTTTTTGCTTTTTTAAAAAATGGGAATAACTATTGACAACGGGAAGTGTGTGTATATGAGAGAGAGAGAGAGAGAGAGAGAGATAGTTTCATACACAATATAAAAGATGAAGCAATATATCACTTAGCCATATTTCTCCATGAAAACATTTAATAAATATTAATATTAATAACCACAGAAACAAATGTCTTTTAAGATATCTTTTTTCTATCAATATCCAAGATTTTACAAAAATTTATTAAAAAGTAAATACAGCCCTAGCTGGATTGGCTCAGTAGATAGGGCGTCAGCCTGCGGACTGAAGGGTTTTGAGTTCGATTCTGTTCAAGGGTATATGCCTTGGTTGCTGGCACATCCCCAGTAGGGAGTGTGCAGGAGGCAGCAGATCGATGTTTCTCTCTCATTAATATTTTTAACGATCTATCCCTCTCTCTTCCTCTCTGAAATCAATAAAGATATATTTTTAAAAAATGAATACAAGTAAAAGATGACCTATGAAGGAAAAACTTACTTTAAGAAACTTTTATATAAATTAAAATGCTAACTTCAGAGCTATCTGCAAATTTCCCATATAAAAATTACCAGCATATATTTTGGAATATAGTTATCAAACATATCATGTCAAAGGAAAAAAATATCACCCCAGGGATTGAGAAAATGAGCAAACTGTCATCATAAGAGTTCTACTGAAGCTGCTTCCCACATCTCTTAGCCAGAATAAAAGTGTAAGGCTACCAGCAAGAGAAAATGATCCTCTGATCTGAACAGACTTACCATCTCTGATAGGTGAGAACATGTCCCCCAGACTACTGGCTCTAGTATCATCAAGACTGGAGAAATCCTGATTTTTTCCACTGTCTACTTCCTTGGATAAAATATCTGAATTGATGCTTCGAGACAAACCTTATAGAAATTAGATATGAAAATGTTATTACATCTAAATAAATTGATCAGAAGCGAGGTTCTAAAAATATAAAAATGAAAGCAACAAATAAACAAACAAGAAAAACAGGAGTAAGAGATCAACCAAATGACTTGTAACCCATGGACACAGACAGCAGGGGGGTGAGGGCATGTGCTGGGGGATGGAAACAGCTGGGGGAAAATCAATGGGGGGAAAAGGAGTCGTATGTAATACTTTAAACAATGAAGAATATAAATTAAAATAAAAAGAAAAACAAACAAAAACTCATAGACACAGATAACAGCATGGTAGTTACCAGATGGAAGGGGGGTGGAGTGGGGTATAGGATAGTGAAAGATAAAAGGGGTCAAACATATGATGACAAAAGATTTGATTTGGGGTGGTAAACATACAACGCAATACACAGATGATGTATCATTGAACAGTACATTTGAAGGAATAAATAATTTTATTAAGCAATGCAACCCCAATAAAATTAATTTTAAAATAATTTTTTAAAAAATATATGATTTTGTTAATAAAAAAATAATGTATTACCCATATTATTGGTAATATTACAACAGTGAACATGGAGGGGGGAAGCAAAATTTAACAATAATTCATTTAGCCATCACTTTCATGGAATAAAGGGCTCCCCAAAAATCAAATAACTCATTTATTCATATATGGGAATAAATATGAATTATTGTAGCCATTCTTTGAAACTTTTCTAAAATAATATTCATATTTACTTCTGTCTTAAAAATATTCTGAACATATAACCTAGTTTATTATCTCAAATGATAATCATAAAAAAAGTCTGTAAGGCATATGTAGCACAATGCCTAACAGATAGCAGGATTCAAGTTATGTTAGTTCTCTCCCCAATGTGCAGTGAATATATATTTTTCCCTCTTCTTTTTCTTCACTAACAGGGGGAGTTTAACATTGCTCTAGGCATGATCGACCTCAAATGACTTCACTGACCTCACAACGTTTACTACGAGGAAGGAAACCAGAATCTCAAACTCAGAGAGAATAGTAAAATAGACAATAAAAAGACAGAGAGCTGTTTTTCATTCCTTAAATGGCTCTTTCCTTCTGAAAATAAGCAGTAGTAGTAACAACACTGCAGAGATTGTTTTCAATAACTAAGTCAGGACTACTTTAGTAAAAGCAACAAGAACTTTTTGTCAAACTTTGGATTTTACAATAAGTTTAAAATGGTAATAGCAATAATGATGATCACGATAACAATATTATTAATCACTCCATATTTATTGAGTGCCCACCATGTGCCAGGCACTTTTGATACATTTTTCTCTGATTTTCACAATAACCCTAAAAGTTATCATACGTGGAAGAGAAAAATGAGATTGATTCAAAATGGTTAAGAAAACTGCCCAAAGTCTTCCTGGTAAGAAATGATAGACTGGAGACTTAAACCTAATATACTCACATGTTTCAGAGGTGATGGGAGTGTGTGTGTGTGTGTGTGTGTGTGTGTGTTTGAGAGAAATTTAGGAAGCAAATGTGGCAAAATTTATAAAATGGCAAATCTACTGGACTGTTGAGCTCAGGAGTTCTTTATATATCATTGAAACTTTTTTGTAAGTTTCAAATCACTTCAAAATAAAATTAATGAACAGAATTTCTAACTATGGAAGCAGAGCAAAAATTCATTTTGCCAGAAACTGCTAATCAGGAAAGAGCTATTAATCAGTGACCCTGCAGACCCAAGTCTTCATCTCCTAATAAATGCTGTCATTGTTAAACACAGCCTCCTTATTAAAAACTAAATTAATGAAGACTTCATAAAATTTACAGTAATTGAGAAAAATATTTTGTTTATTTTTTTAATTATGCATAAAATTAATAGTCGATTAAAATTTAAAATGGCAATTTTAATATAGTTAATTAAACATTTTTGGACAAACATTAAAGTAATTTTCAAAAAGACTTTCTTCTTTTAAATAGACAGCATTTATTTTTCCATGGGATATGTAATAATTTCTATGTGAAGACAATGTAGCTATTCACAGAAAATTTGTAGTGAATATACTTGCAACTTTAAAAACATTATTCCAGATTATAAATGTTAACAAATTAAACTTTAGTTTATTCTTGGAAATAGTAAACTTTGACTACAAGGCACCAACAAATATTTTTATCCATGTCAAGTACTTGTCCTAAAAATTTTAAAAGTCATGAATGGGTACATTCATTTCTAATGAGAATATTTTGAAAACACACTGGCATATGTATCATGTAGACTTTTTAAAATATCTGTTGCATGTTGACAGGGTAGCATATTTCTTAAAATAAAAACAAGAAGGTTTTAAGGAATTTAGGAAATATGATCTTTATTGCAGGCAAAGAATATATTCTATAGTAGGTATGGGGAAGCTTATCATCATATTATACTTCACAATGTCTAAATAAATTCCTCTTGAAGAAATGCTTGATTATTAACATAGAAAAAAATTATTTAAAATCGTAATATTTTCATTTATTTTTATTTAACCAACTGCTAGCTTGTGGCTTAATATAAGCCAGGCACTATTTAATTCTTAAATATATTCATTTCATCACTTGATTTACCTTCCATTCTAAAATATGAAATAAAAGGAGCTATTAGTAGCTTTTAATAAAGGAAAAAGACCTCAGAAATCAAATCATGACATCAAAATTGCATTCTCTACTGATTAACCTGAAGGCACAATATAAAGTCACCCAGTCTAGTTAGTATTAAAAATTAATAATTTGGCCCTAACCGGTTTGGCTCAGTGGATAGAGCGTCGGCCTACGGACTGAAGGGTCCCAGGTTCGATTCCGGTCAAGGGCATGCACCTTGGTTGCAGGCACATCCCCAGTAGGGGGTGTGCAGGAGGCGGCTGATGGAAGTTTCTCTCTCATCGATGTTTCTAACTCTCTATCCCTCTCCCTTCCTCTCTGTAAAAAATCAATAAAATATTTATATTTTTAAAAAAGAATGAATAATTTGAGTTGACATCATTGTTTTTTCTAAGATAAGTAATATTTTACAACAGAAGTTTACTTAACCAGTTTAAAATAAATGTTTTTTCATTAAATTTTAAAGAAATTGTAGCTGAAGTTAAAATGTTCACTTCTTCAATGATATTTACTAATAATTCTATTTAAATACTCAAGTGAATTCGAGTCCTAGGTTCCCGAATAAGGTATAATTATATATTTAGGGTGTTCCATAGAAGCACCACTTACCTGCTTTGTCTTGGGCAGCAGCTGTGCCTCTCCCCACGGCTGTCGTCATGGGCTGTGGCAGGGCCGTGGCAGGGGCAGTGGCTTCTCTGACAGTTCCAGAACTCGGAGCTCCCCCACCAGCAGCGCTCACAGGAACAGTCCGTTTGTTCACAGCTGAGGCCTTACTTGAAGAGTCTTTATTTAAACCTGACTGAAATGTAATGGAATATTTAAAAGCTCAGGTTTCTAATGCTCCCTATTGTTATTAATATTTTATAAATTCCCTATTAGAGTAAAAATATGTATATATATTTTCCTTACAAATTTTAAGCTTGCTAGGATAGCTGAGAGTTTCCCTCTGAGCCATAAAAAGCCTTTTAAAATATAAAAAGAGGGACATATGAGAATTAAGTATAAAATTTTTTTTAAAAAGTTTTAAAACCAAATATCAAATGGCTTTATAGTAAAATCATATTAAATGCTTTTTATATCAAAATGATTATGTAGCAAAACTACACTGCGTTTGATTGACAACATAAAATTTCTATATTCTGAGCTATATTTATTTAATAAAATAAAAAATTCAGAAAAAAAAAATCTTACCTTAGAAAGAGCAGTGGAGTACTGAAATACTATACATTGCACAGATGTCTTATGAGCATTGATGGTTTTAACTGGTGATTTCAACATCCTTAAATCATACTGATATATTTTCCCACGGGAGGATCCAATAGCCAAAGTGGCACCATCAGGCATGAAATCTACTGCAGTTAGAGGAGCGTCAGCCACTAAAGTCTTCACTAGCCTTTGGAAAGAGAGCAAGTCTATGTAGATACATGAGTGAATACAGGTATATAAGCTTATGTGACATATAAGTAACTACAGCGTATCAAAACCAAACTTACTTAGAATTGAGCAAGTAGCATACACATCCCAAACATTTATTTTAAAGCATAAATTTAGAATTAAGAGACATTTCCAGTGCCATGGCATATGGAGGAACTGCTGAACACGTCACCCTATATTCTATTCACTCTACATGTTCTAGAAGCAGCACCTATTTAAGTAATTGTTACCTTGGCAATGAATATGACAGAATTCCTGGGTGCTACTCCACAAATAAAAGGGCTCTAGCCTCAGAATTAAGGAGGCTCCCAGTATCCCTTTCCATTTATTGATCTGCTGAAGCCTCCAGAGGACTATGACCTTTCACAGGAGAGCAGCTGCTACTTTGTTCTTAGTTCTGTATCTCCTGACCGAAAAGCTAACTGAGCCCATGTGGCTTGATCCTCAGGAAGCAAGGAGAGAAATACAGATACGGATCTGCTGAAGCTGAGCTCTTTACTGGAGTGTCTAATATAAGAGAGAAATGCCTTACTGACTCAGGACTCTTAGTAAATTAGTTTTAAAAAAATAGTAAAAAGACAAAAGAATGTAAAGTAAGTAACAGTAAATTTCTAATAAGGGCTGACAATAGGTCCTTCCCTAGTAATAACATTACCTTTTTTTTTTTTTTTTTTTAACAGGATTCTGCATATTGTTAGGTGTCTTGAATACACCTGTAGCATTTTTTCAGCTTTTTTAAAAAACTAACCAAGCACCCTTATAAATCTAAGAAGTACAGGAAGGCAGGACAAACCCACATACTTAGATTATGTGCCCTTTAGCTCTAGGCCACAGGTTCTCAACTGGCGGTCGTTAGGATGTCACAACTAGGAAAGTGCTACTGGCATCTAGTGGGTAGAGGCCAGGGATGTTGCTGAACACCCCACAGTGCCCAGGAGAGTCCTTCACAAACAAGAATCGCCCAGCCCAAAATGCTGATCCTTCAGTCATCCTGCTTTACAGAAGGAATTAATTTTAAAGCAAATTAACCATATTTAGTTATATTTTTTAAAAGAATAATGTGCATACATGTTAAAATAAAGATGTGCAATCATTAGCAGGCTATGCTTCAATGTTCACAATCCAGAAGTGCTTAAATAAGTCAGCCAGAAAAAGACAAGTACCACAGGATTTCACTGATAAAGAGGAATCTAATGAACAAAAATACACTAACAAACAAAACAGAAACAGACTCAATAGATACAGAGAATAGACTGACAGCTGTCAGAGGGGAGGGGAGTCTGGGGGACTGGGTGAAAAGGTGAAAGGTTAAGAAAAAAAACAAAAACCTCATAGGCATGACAAACAACAGTATGATGATTACGAGATAAAAAGGCAGAGGAAGGTAGAGAGGTAGAAGAGGGAAAAGGGAGAATAAATGGTGACAATAGACATCACTAGGGGTGGTAAACACACAATGCAATATACAGATGATGTATTATAAAATTGTATACCTCAAACCTATATAATTTTATTAATCAATGTCATCCCAGTAAATTCAAATTTTTAAAAAAGGAAACAGAATATTAATTAAAAAATAATACCCACACCTTATCTATTTTTTTTGCATGCAAGTAAGAAAAAAACATATGCCTTACCAGATATCAAGAACACAAATTTGAGAGCTCCTGAATATTAATTATAGTTCTAAACAAATCACAAATATATCTGCTAATGAGATAGAAATGCCACACTTACTTCTTACTTGAAGTGTCATAGAGAATGATTCTCTTATCCAAGCCTATGGTTACAAACAACAATTCATTGACAGGAGAAAAGCAGATGCCTGAAGCTGGAGCTTTATGAGTACTGTCAAAGTTATGGTGAGGACTCTGACTGTTTACATCCCAGAGAGTTACTACTCCGTTATCCGAAACACTGCCCAGCAGCGACTTCTTAAATAAGGAGTACTTCAAGTGCCGAACAGGCTATAAAAATAAGAATAAACTTTCTGTAATTGTAAACATTCATAAGAACATTTATATAAACTATATAAATAACAACCAACCACAGGCATAGCACTCACACAGGATTTAGGACTTTTCTGGTATAGAGAGTAACAGGTTTCAATCAATATCATAAAATCATTTAGTGGGCTATATAAGATGATCCCAAAACGTACCGATATTCTAGTAATTGAATATTTGTCATGATATTACTAACTTTAAGCACAGCTAACTCAATCTCCTCTTTTTTTTTCCATAGAAAAAATACAACACTTTGATTCATTAGGGTTAGAATATCCCTAAATAAAAGACTCAGCCAAATCATCAATAAGGAAACACTACAGAGAACAAGCAATATTTGTATTTTAAACATATTTTAAATATTTAAATATATTTGCTTGATTCTGAGCTTCTGATGTGCTAGAAATTCAACAACTAAAGCGTAATAAAAAGTCAACTAAACCACAAAGGATGAATAGTCAATATTCTGGACTAGGGATGGAGAAAGCATTTGGTCATCTAAGGAAATATATCTCTCCCCCAAAGTTCTATATTAGCCTATTGAAATCTTTGTTATCTCTAAATTTAGTATTCATCCATTACCATGTTATTGAGGAGGATATTTTCAACATAAAAGTTGGACAATAGTTGAGGACAAAGAAAACACATGATATGGTTCCAACTAGAATGTAGGCATGTAAAGAGTTAACCCTAATATAAAAGTTAGAATCAGATAATTGGCAAGGAGGCCAGTTTATATTGTAGTAAAAATGAAACAAACACACAATTAAGCCTCACACCATCTGAAGTCATTCCTCCGTTAATATCCCCATTTTATTCCCAAAAGGATAATTTTATCTCACTGTTCTAAATCACCATAAACTTATTTTTTTTAATCAATCACTCATTATCATTTATATGTATATCTCTTTTATCCCTCCAATACAAATGAAACATGAAAAAAATACATTTTTCTATGCATTTTTAATATCTAATATATTTTCCTTAAACACTAAATATATACTCATCAATATATACTACTCAATATAATGATTTATAAAAAACACTTTTCAAAAGTGAGGCAGTCCCATCTTTTATGTAATAATAATTATGGCCACAGTGATTATAATTAAAAGAATGAATGAAAAGAAATTGCACCTTATTGGAAATTTCTATGGAGAATTTCATGGAAAGTTAGATTTCTTTAGAAACTAAATGAATTCTTTTAAAAATGTTATAGACATTTTCATGAAGAAAAAATTTGGCTAAAATCTATAATAAAAAAAAAAAGTTTAATATGCTAATTAGACCAGACATCCTTCAGAATAAAGCTGGGGCTGTGAGGGAAGCCCGGGAACCAGGTGCCTGCCAGCAGTCAGAGGGTGGAAAGCCAGTGCTCGCTGGGGGAAGGAAGGCCTACTCTTGCACAAATTTTGTGCATCGGGCATCCAGTTCCTTTATAAAAAGTTTTCTTATAACCCTCCTCAGTGTGGTTAAGAGGTTGGAGCATCAATCGGTCCATGCACCTTGGGTTCTTAGATTTGATTCCCAGTCAAGGGCATATACCTGGGTTGCAGGTTCGATCCCCAGCCCCAGTTGGGGCACATGTTGGAGGCAATCAATGAATGTGTCTCTCTCATATCCAATGATTCTCTCTCCCCCATCTTTTCTTCCCTCCCTTCCATTTCCTAAAAAAAAAGAAAAAAAAAATGGAAAAAATATCCTCGGGTGAGGATGAACAACAAAACATTTCCCTACGTACTCCTGTATTAACCTGAAATACATGAATAAGTTTTGATTCATTAACTATGATATACTTAAAGAAACCAAAAAAACAAAATTCCATTTATCCTGTGCCTAAACACACTCAATTAGCACATGCCCATCAGAGTACTTATGTACCTGTCCTGTAGTTAACATAATTTGAGCTATGCAACACTTCTATAATTGTAATGTCTATAGGAAGATTAATATTCATGTTTTGGGGTTAACCTGGTAACGCTATTTGTATTTTGTTATATATATAGTTATAATATATATATATTATATATAATATATAGTTATAATATATATATAACATATAAAACATATATTTAGGAGCATGTTATATTCAATGGCCTAACTGAACTCAATAAAGTAAGTATACTCAATTTAGTATGAATTAGCTTATTTTCAATCAAGTTTATTTTAAATACTTAATTTTTAAAACTTAAAGGTTATTGGTTTATATAATAGTTCAAAATATATCTTACCAACTTTATTTTGAATAAACCCATACTTACCTGGCTACTACCATGACCAAAAGGAGTGGTAGATATATTAGTGGTTACACTGTGCAAAATAATTTCACCACTGAGAGATCCAGAAGCAATGTAGCAATCATTCCAATTATATGTTACACAAGTTACTTCATCTTTATGATCCTGAAAGAAAAAAAATGAAAGTAAATACAGTGCCATCAAACCTTCCAAAAAGCAAATTTTCAAGTTTTTGTAAATATTGTGTTCTATAAATATTATCCATTTGTCAATCTAAAATTTGCTTTAACATTTTCCTAAAATTTTAAAAACTACTCAAATATACAGAAAACTATCTGATCAACACCAAGTCTTCCCAGGGAACAGAGATCTATTTTTCATAACCATAATAAAGCTCAGGCACTCTGAAATGAGAGACAGAACGAAAAGGTAATTTTCTAAATGGCAATATGTCTCCCTGAAAGAATTCACTTCCACTGACAAGTAACATTTATTGGGAGTTGACTACCTGGAGAGTTCCTGCCCTTGAAAGTATTACTGTTCTATTGAGAAGACAGGACATTTACATTAACATGAAAATGGCAGAACAAAGCTAAGTGAGTGGAGGTAGAGGCAAAGTGTCAAGACAAAAGAGAAAGAGGCACCACTGTGAACTCAGTTGACAGAGGAGGCTTTATGCAAGATATAAAGTTGAAGTTCAAACTTAAAGAAAAGAGAGCTAAACTAGGGGAAGTGGACCAGACACAGCAAAATGGAAGAGTAAGAAACAAAAGCCCCAAAGCCAGGAGGACAAATTATGTTTGAGAGATGACAGCAGCTGCTTCCCTTTGTCAAGTATCTACTAACCTGGGAGCTTGATTTGTTATTACTGTTATTTATTTATTTTAATCCTCACCAGAGGACATTTTCATTGACTTTATTTGCTTGTTTGTTTTGAGAGAGGGGGGAAAGGAAAGAGAAATATCAATTGGTTGCCTCCAGTATGCCCCCCAAAAAAACGACAAGATCGACCCACAACCTAGGTCTTATGCCATAACCACAAATCAAACCCGTGACTATTAGGTATACAGGACACTCCTACCAACCGAGGCACACCACCCAGAATTATATATTATTATTAACCCATAGAACAATCTTGGAGAAAATGTCAGTTTTCCCATTTTACAGGTGAGTTGACTAAACGGCACAGAAAGGTTAAGAAACCTGTGCAAGCTCACATAACTACTAAATGAAAAAGCCGGATTCAATTCCAGGTCAAACCCCAAGCCTATTTGCCCCCCTCTATATTAGGATGTCTCCCAAATCAAAAGGGAAATCCATCCAGATGGAGACAACAAAACTGGTTTTGAATAAACTGAGCTCACAAGGACTGTTTTCCAACATCAGAGAAATGTAGCAGGAACACAGAAAAGTGATCAGGATTAGGAGTGTATAATAGTTTTTAACAGTTTGGTGTTATACCTTACTAATATAAACAAACTAACCTTTGAATCTAATAATTATATTAATGTAATACCAAGAATAGTAACTATTATATTACACTATTTTTATATTATAATAACTATTACATGACAACTTTTTCAAATGGTCCTTCAAGCATGTTTGGATATGTCTCTACATTTTAATCCTTTTCTAAATCAAACAAACTATATATGATAAGAAGAAAGAGGACATTTAGGGCATTGCTCCCATCTAGGAAATTAAGGATATGATGTCCAATACAATTTATATGACTTTGTAAAGAACTGAATCTTTATTTTCCCTAACAAATCTCACTTCAATTCTGAAGCATCTTTCTTTTATCGTAAAAGCTCAACATTAAAAGAAAAGTTTGGTAACTAAGCAAATTGTGAGATACCCATTTCAGTAACAGAAAACACCACCACCAACTTCCTTACCTTAAGAGATCGATGAACTCTTTTAGCTTTTAAATCCCAAATATTAACAGTGTTATTCAGGCCTCCGCTTACCAAATACATAGATGTGGAATTTAAACTGACACATGTCTGCTTTTGCTATTAAAGGGGGAAAAAAAAGTTATCTTAATTTAAAGAGCCCAGAGATGACTTTTAAGTCTTATTCAATACTTAGCAAGCACTTAATACTTGTTGAATTAAATGTTATAAACATGCTAATACTTATTCTAAAAATTCACCTTTTATCTCCCACATGGATCAAATAGCTTGTAAGGAGTTAAAAAAATACTTCAAGAAATCAACCAGATTCATGTTCTCTGCCATACACAGAGGTGACAAAGGAAGCTTAGAAAATACCAGCAAGTCTTGGTCTCCCATCAGGTCTTACCTGCCCTTAATATGTCCCCTACCAAAACCTGCTCTTGCATTTACACAGGATACCCTGAGTTACAATCAAACCACAGTTCAGAAAACGCTAATGGTAGAGAAGACTTTCAAGGATGTCTAAGTCCCTCATTTTACAAATGAGGAAAGGTTTCCATTGAGGACAAGATATTTGCCCAAAGTATTGTGGCAAAGCTCCCCTTAAGAAATCCAATTCTTATACATCGAGTCATCAGAACTTGACTCTTACATTCTTCCCCATGTATGTAAAGACACCATCCACCCAGTTTTTCAAGATAAAATTCCAGAATTAGCCTTGATTCCTCGTTCTGTCCACCCCAAGTCTACCATAAATTCTTCAAACTCCAACACTAAAATAAATCCACCTGGCCCTCCCAGTATCTAGCACTACTTCTAGCACTCTACTCCAAACCCCGTGGGAACCACAACAGCAGCATCTTAACTGGTTGTCCTGCCTCTACTCCTACGCATTCTGTTCTCCCTAAGTAGGGTGACCTTTAAGAAATGTAAATCTGATCATGTCTCTCCCATTTAAAAACATTCAATGGCTTCTAATGAACCCTAGAATAAATTCCAGACTCATTAACCTGGCTTTCAAAGCCCTATTCATCTGGCCCCTTCCATTCATCTCTCATTTTTCTCTTCACCCACTAATTCTCCGAGCCACAATGATGTTCTTACATTCCTTAAAAATAATTCTGTATTTTCCTCAAGGCTCCTACAACAGCTATTCTTGCCCCGAACTTTGGCTGAACAGCTTTTTCTGGTCCATAAACAGCACGTTAAATGCCATCTCTTCAGGGGTACTCGCCTGGCCACCTAAGGTAACTTGCTATCTCAATATCTTAACTATTTTAGTTCTCGACACAACTTATCACTATCTGGGTATTCTGTTTCCTAGTTTACTGTCTGTCTTCCACCAGAATGTCAGTTTCTTTAAGAGCAAAGACCATATCCATGCTCAATACATATTTATAAAATAAGTGGCTAAAAATACAAAGGCTACCAAGTTTTTCTCACAATAATTATCTGAGCATCATCTACCGGCGGTGCCCATCTGTCAGAACATAATGCTGCATGTATTTTCCTATTTAACCTTCAGGCACACTGTGCAGTTACATTAATTTTCTTACCTCCAGTTGAATGCTATGAGGGAAAAATAGAGAAATGATTCCAAAGGGGACATATTTGTGACTTGGTTAAAATCTAAAGGCAAGCCATGCAGATTTAGGCAAGTCATCTCACCTTTATGAGCCCATGTTTCTTTATCTGAGAAATGAGAAATGAGAACAAGAACTACTGTGCCTACCTTGAGAATCCACGCATCTCAAAAGCATCCTCTACTCAGATTCTTAAAAAGGTGCAGATGGCTCCTATACTCAAGCTTCTTACTGCTCTTAAATTTTGACCAAGAGTCAAAAGTACCAACACATATAAACAAGAGCACATTAGGTCAATGTGTCAGTATAGTAGGTATAATTCTCTTCTAGGCACTGTACATACATACATAGAAACTAAATTTGGTCTGAACAAACTAATAAGATTTAGAATGTAGTTATCACTGCAAATCAGAATAGTTTACTAAGAGCTATAAAAATGACCTTTAAAGAAAATAGACAAGAATTATATCCATCAAAGATAAATATATTAGGATTCCAATTATCAAAAACAATTCAAATTATTCTTAAGGGCTCAGAATAAAAACTATGTTTATAGCTGGCTTACCCTGATAACATATTTTTGTTAATGTATTATTAATGTAGCTAATGAACTTAAATAATTAACAGAAATCGTGTAGTTATTACAGGATTCCTACATCCCAAAACACAAGTAATGGTTGTTTTTAAAATCTAAAAATAACAGCTGGTCAAATTTCTAGGTTATATAGTAGCCTATCACACCCATTATAATACTGTTAATACCAATCTGCCCATTTTTAAGAAGTAAAATACGAAAATCAAAGAAAATAAATATAAACTTAAAAAGTTCTACTCAAAAATTAATATTTAAATAAGAATCATATTTTTCTACAAGGAAAGGTCTAATATCTCAAATAGCACATGAGTAAAAGAACTTGGATCCTACAAAACAAGGGTTTTCAACACACTAATATGTTATAATAAATTACTGATAAAGGCTAAAGAACCAATGTTTGCAAAATACTTTTATAAGTAAATTAAAGAAGATTCAAATTATAACTATAATGACCACTTCAGCCACATGCATCCTGATGTGATTTCTTAAGGAAGAGAAAGAGAATTAACTACAACTGATATGAAATATTCACAAAAATTGTAGAATTGTGTCAATTTGTGAATATCATTTATTTTCATACTTTAATAACAAAAACAAAAAGGTACCAAACTGGTTCTAAGACATGATGTAAAAGTAGCATAATACATATTATACCAGAGGAAGTCAAAATTATTTTGATGCTATTTAACTCAATATACATCAAAAGTCTTTGACAGGACTTAAAGATTCAATGATGATGACTAAGATGTTTTGCCTTCTCTGAAAGGATATACACTTTGATTTTATCAACCAGGGATGCTCTCTGCTTCAATTTTACGTAACTGAGTTTGAATAGGCAGAAGGCCTCAAACTCCATTTCTACCATTAGCATGCTCTCTGCCACAGCCTCAACATATATGGGCTGGAAATGAATTTTGGGCCAATCCCACTGGATATCTTTAGGAAAGGACTGATATAAATCAAAAGTTCTTTATAAATTAGATCAGCTATCCAGCTATTCTTTCTAATTGGGCTCCTTTACCTATTCCAGTGTAAAATTAGGACTATTCATAATGTTTTAGGGCCAGTCTGCTAGGAAAATCTGAAACTTAAAATAAAATAAAAAATAACATCTGTACCTTTTTATTTAGATCATATCTTATTTTAAAAAGAAATAGCTTGGAAATAGCTTCCAATAGATTGGAAATGAGATAGCCAGCTATATCGTGAATCAGAAAGATTACTTTATAAAAAACAGAAGAATAAGCAAACAATATTCAATGAACGCTTCATTTAAATGCTCTGGGACCAACGCTTGCTTTGACAAAGCCATCTTTTCCAGGCAAGCTTGGGGAGGCTCAGGCAGGCCCTTCAGTACAGTAGACAGAAGCAAAAGCAGAATGCTGTGTCAGATAAGGGGCCTTAGCTGATACAGTCCTCAGCCCAATGTCAGTGAAGGCAGGGCTGCATCATTCGGGCTTTATGGTCATATCAAACTAGTGACTTAAGTGGGGCTTGGTCCTTAAAAAGGCACCACCACCAGGGAACCTCCCACAGACAGAGGAAAAATGGAGAAAGTAAGTGCCTAGTTGACAAAACCTGAATCCTTGATTACTCCCCTAAGGTTCAGTACTATTTTACTTAAAGGTGTTTCAGTACCCATCTCACCAGGAAGTGTTATGGTATTATTTTGAGCTTAGGTTAACAAAAATGCTTTTAAACACCTTTATATTTAGTTGCAAGCAGCACAATAAATAAGCAGTTGCCACTCAAGTAGAACTAAGATTTTCTTTTAGGTTATTTTTTGTTTGTTTGTTTTTTCACTTACCCCTTCACCAAGCTCTAAAAGTGGAACAGGTTTACATTTGCAACTTGAAACAACAATTTTGTCACCACTGGAAGATGCTGTCACTAGAAAGTTATCTAAATGAAGAATTAAGGAGCATAAAACAATCCATGAACATCTCTCTAGCATTAGACTTTAATACAAGAATTGTACTGATAAAAGCAAGCACACTAACCTAAGAAGAAAAGCAAATGAACATCGCTTATACATTAGCTTTCAAAAATGGCTCAGCTTACTAATTACTAAATCTCTTTACTACCACCACAGGGAAGAACTATCTTTTCTGGCTATGCTATCACTTAAAAGCTATTTAACCCATGTGAAACACTACTCCATTTTCAAAGAGTAGGCCAGAAGGTCTAATTTTATACTTCAAGAATGAAAGTATAATCAAAGTACCATCAGCATCTATGAATCAGCCTTTTCATCTATAAACACTGTTCAAGACAGTTTTTAACACAGTGCTTGGTACCCATTTAAGTTAGGAAGCAAATACCTATATTAGTTTTCTATTTGTCTACTAAAAAAATAAAAGCTGGTATTTTCTCACTAGAATTTTTGTGGTAGAATGTTTCAATCTTAAATATATTAAGAATAAATGTTACAGTAAATGTAGCAAATATAAATAAAGGTGGTTAAATAGCAATTACTTATGTTATAGAAGAGTTCTATTTTAAATTAAACTTTAAATTACTTAAAACTTAATATAATTACATTTCTAAGTGTTTTACTTCAAATAAATTTACAATTATATTTACCTTTATTTGGAACAATCAGGAAATACAAAGCAATATATTTTAAAACTAAAATAATTAAATACAATATAACCGAGAATAAGAGTTTCATTTTGAAAGTCATAACAAATTAAAAAATCAGAAGTTTAAATTAATGCTTTTAAATAAGCAAAGTTCTAAGTGCATTACTTTTGGATGACTTATCTAACATTCCTATATTTTGTGAATAGACCGTGGGTTGTGATTTTATGACACACAATTTAAACAAAATCATTTCCACCTAGATATTACAGAATTGAGGAAAATACACGGTTTCTCTTTATTTGGCTTCTTCCTTGTTTACTGATACTTTTCTCCTTACAGTATAGAAATGAAAAAACAGAAAGATAATGAGAGGCTAAAATAGGAACCTCTTGTTATTTCTCATGTAGTGTTAGAAGTCATGAGAAAGTGAGGAACATTATCTCGAGGACCAAATGCATAGAAAACTAATCTCCCTGGCACATCACCATGAACTCCACCTTGGGAACCCATGCAAAGTGGGTTTGTGAGTATGGGAAGTCCTCTTTCATCAAGAACTAACCTCCATGGAAGGATCAAAACTTCATTAGGAGTAAGATTATAGGAAGGCTCTCAGTGCACATCTACTATACATGGAAACCACACAGAAATAAGACCAGTTTCCAAGTCATACGATAATCCTCATAGTCACATCAGTTTTATTCACAGACCACTAAATGGTTTATTGGTAAATGACAACTGTTACTAAAACTCCCTGGAATACAATAAACCAAAAATAATACGTCTTACTAAGTAATGCTATTTTTCTCTAGTGCAATAAGTAACAGAAAAATTAACCTCTAAACATAATAAAAATCCAGTAATAAAGAAGCAACCTCACGTATTTATACCTCTCCTTAAAACAGTTCCCCCCACTACACATCTGGAGAGTACTTCAAACACGTAGTCACTGCACCATGAGTTTGATGAATAGGGCACTGAAGTAATTAACTTTGCTACCATAATACAAATTCAAGGAATGATGGAGTAAATTTAATTCAATAAGAAAATTCGTCATATTTTTGTAGCGTATTTGCATTAACAATTAGATTGAGCATGAAAACTTCTAATGGTTTTGTTTATGAATCAATCACATTTTCATCAAGAAGAATATTAATACTTTGGTATTGATCAGACATGTATAAACCTAATTTGTTGTTTAAGAAACTGTATGACAAATGATAATTTTTAGCATAGCAAAAGGTAATGAGTACTTTGTTGACAACAGCAATTCTCAACTAGGGCTACAGGTATCTGGTGGGTAGAGGCCAAAAAGGCTTCTGAACATCCTTTAATACACAGGATAGGCCCGTAAAAAAGGACCACCTGGCCCAAAATGTCAATAGTGCCAGGGGCTGAGGAATCCTGATTTCCAAGCTTCACTGCCTCATTTATTTTACCCACATATAGGAGTTTACTAAGACAAGGAGGGTGTGAATCAGAAACATAGAAAGCTTAGAAAAAATCAATAACTTCCCTGAATATTTAGGAAATGAGACTATGTTCATCATAGATAGAGAGAAAAACACAAGAACACTTTAGTAAGATGGGGATGTAGGTCAATTTTAATTTTTATCTCCTCACCCAACCTTTGTTTTCTGTCTTTGAGTTCTATCGTTAATTTCCAGACAAAAGCCACAAATATTCAAACATGGATACAAAAACTCATTAAAAAACCTTTTCAGAATTTTCCCCATCATTACCTACCTTCTTCTATTTGATTCAGTAACAAACTCTAGATAACAAAATGAATTCTGTGGTCTGGATATAATAATTAACATTTATGTGTGTATATATATATATTAATAGCAGCGTTTTCCAATCTAATGGGCTAAAACTAAATTTCTAAAAAATGAAATCAAGAGAAATCTGTGTGTATTCACGATATGCTGTTTAGTACATTGTTTCTTTTACTTTATATAGCTATGCATTATAGGTCACATGCAAAAAAAGTTCCACTGGTTTTTAAACCTAACAAAGAGCGTTTTTTGTTTTTTTTTTAAGGATACTATTGCTGCTCCAACATAATGAGCTGATTCCACGTGGTGATGTGTGTGGGTTGAATTTATCCACCAATGTCATGGATGAAGCATCCCATATTTTAACATCATCTCCGGATGAAGCAAATCTGAGATTTTCCTGCATGACTGCACCTACAAATAGTTTAAAACAATGTATTTAAAATAAAAAACAAGGTTAGGCAAAAAAAAAAAAAAAAAAGTTAATGAAGCATCTAATCCAAGTGGCACCACTGTCCACTTCTGTCCCCACGAGTGTGCTCGCTACAAAGTGGCTGGAGTGATCTTTGACCCTTCCTCTGGCTCTCCACAGCAACTATAATGAAATCCAACCTTCTTAGCTTTATATGAGCTACCTAGCCAGGTGCAAATCTCTTCCCTGGACCTTCCTCCTTCTCCCCCCCAAACTTTCTTGCCTGTGTGTCTTCCATTTGCTCCCTCTTTGCTCTTTCCCCAGAATTCCTATGGTCATCTCCTCCTATCATTCCAGTCTCAAGCCAAATGTCTCCTCCTCAGAAAAGCTTACTCTGAAACGCATGACTAAAGCAGCCCCGTACCAGTTGCTCTATATCCCATGATTCTGTTTCACTTTTTCATGGCACTTGCTCCTCTTTATAATTCTAATTTTACTCATAATGTCTGCCTGCTCCTTCCCTCCCCGCACCTTGAACAAAACAGATCCTCAGGACAGGTCTTCTGTCTTGTTCACTACATCTTGAAACATTCCTGGCACACAGGGGGTACTCAAAAATACGTGTTGGGATTGGCAACCTCCTAATCTTTCTAAAAATGTATCCTAAACCATAGCACTCCTGCAGGCCCGAATCCAGACACTCTAGTTTTTCCAAATAATTCCAAACTGAGCAAATACAGCCAAGATGTCACTCGTCCCTAAACCAATCATTGGTCTATAACTCACATTATTTATTCACAGTTATATAGTTCACACACAATGCTGATCAAGTGACTTCACAAATTAAAGCAATCTACAGGCAGGAAGCCAAAGAGCTACTCTTAAAAGAGCAGCAAACAGCAGAAACCGGTTTGGCTCAGGGGTAGAGCGTCAGTCTGCGGACTGAAAGGTCCCGGGTTCGATTCTGGTCAAGGGCATGTATCTTGGTTGCGGGCACATCCCCAGTAGGGAGTGTGCAAGAGGCAGCTGGTAGATGTTTCTCTCTCATCGATGTTTCTAGCTCTCTATCTCTCTCCCTTCTTCACTGTAAAAAATCAATAAAATATATTAAAAAGAAAGAAAGAGCAGCAAACAGTATCCTATGATAGGTGTAAAAAAAAAAAAATGCTCAAAAATACTTGAGAGGAAGGGAAAGGGAAGAAGAGAAGGGGACCTAGAAATATATGCTCCATGCCTTGCTGCTTTGGACAGTGCAAGAGGAAGGCACAACATTTGTGATGTCACCCACAGGTTCCCAAGTCATCAACAAAACAGTGCACTTAGATCCCATATAATTCAAAGGACAACTTAGAGGAGTAATAACTTACAGGGCCCTTTAATTCTCAAGACACAAAAAAAGTTAAGGTGTTTACCAAAAAAAAGCTAAAACGTGTGACAACTAGAAAAGTCACTTACTTATGTGATTCATTATGCTTCAGCTACCAAATCATGCAGTGCTACTAACAGCCAGTCATCTGTTGCAACATGGGCACAGTGTTTGGATATGGTGCCTTAACATGTAATAAGGAGCCCGTTGGTTCCCTACTGGAGGAACAAAGGGTAAGAAAGGCGATCTCTACACCCAGTCAACACAACTATAATCTTACACCATCCCCGGCGAGTGGTGGGGTGTAGTGGAAAGATCACTTAAGCTGGGGCTCAGAAAAAGTGGGTTCAAGTTTGGGTGACAGTGACTTTGGCCAAACCACTTGATGCCTGTTTCCTTCTTTGAAAGTGGGGCAGAGCAGGAAAGGGGACCATCTGCCCATCGAGCTCGGTCTTTGGAGAACTGCACACAATACAGGGACAGAGAGGCATAAATTGCATCAGCCTTGCAAAGCGGGTCCCCTAGAAAAAGCAGTCAGGACACAGGGGGGGAACAGAGGGCCTGCCAGCCCGAATGTGGGGACCACAGCAACATGAAACATCACTTAGTTTGAAACCAGTAAAAGTTCTCTCCAACTTGCATTCACCAAAAATGCATTTTACTTGCAGGAACTTATTTACAAGGGGGTTCCCTTGTAAAAATGCATGGGAGCGCCTCCTAAGTGAGTCTCAGCGGAGAGATTTGGGGGGGGGGGGGGAAGAAAAAAAAAAAAAAAGAGGACGGACTGCGGAGCAGCTGCAAACTTTTCGGAGGCAGCGCACCCCCCAGGGCCGCCACCCACACCCCCCAGCCGGCCCGGGCCGCCTCTGAGGCCGGCGTGGGGGGCAGACCCAGGCCCGGGTGCGCGCCCCCCGGCCCGGCCCGCGGCTTCCGGGAACTTCCCCGCCAACCCCGCCCGCAACCGACCGTCGGGAGCGCGGGACGGCCCGGCGCGGGGGGCCCGGGGCCTCCGCCCCAGCCCTCGAGGTGGCCGGAGGGCGGGCGGGGCTCGGGACATGCAAGGACCCAGTGAGCGAGGCCCGCTGCCCCCGGCCCTCCGGAACCTCACCTCTCCGCCGGGGCACATCGGGCGCCGCGGCCAGGCCCGCTCCGCGCTGGGCTTCCGGCTCCCGCCTTGACAGTTCAACTTCAGCGGCCGGAAGTCCCACCCCCGAGGGGCGTCCCCGGGCCCAGCGCGGATCTCCGGGTTTGGCCTCCCGGTGGGGGTTGTTTTCCCAGGGGCGCCTCCCTCCACACCCAGGCGGCAACCCCTTTGTCATTCATTAGTTCTCTGGCTGCTGGTATGGACTCTGTGCTGGACTCCGGGCCCCGGGATGGAGGGAGCCCGGGTACCGGAAACGCTCCTGGTCCCTGGCCCTGGTTAGCCTACTGTCTCAGGCCAAGGTTGCAAAGGCAGTAGGCGGACGTTAAATCAATAATTACATGCTTACATGAGAAGTGAAATTTTGACAATTGCTCCAAAGGAAAGGTCCGTTAAGTACGTACGAAAGCCCCTAATAAGAGAAAGGAAGATGGATGTGGGTGTCAGGCTTTTCTGAAGAGGAAAGGGTGGAGAGCCAGTAATACCACATGCAAGCCAGAGACATGCTCAGAAAGGCTAAGAAATAACCCCCAAAAGGTAAACATCTGAGTTATCTGACTTTGAAACCCCTGATCTTTCTTCCACAGCCTGAGGCCAAGTCAGAAACTTCAAACATCATCGGGTTGGCAATTCTTTTAAAGGGGATGCTTCTCAGGGTGGAAAAGGAGCTGAACTGAGTTCTGAAGTTCTGGGCCTCACAAGCTCTACTAACAACTTTTGCTTAGAATATTTATAATAAATATAGGGCATTTATTCTGCAAAATGTTATTATTCTGTCATTGAAGTACATATGGACTGGCCTCTGCTTCTGAGCTAAGTACATAAGCCCCAGTTATTTGTACTCAATTTGCAATTTAACTGGAAAACTAATAAAAGTGCAATTTTTTTTTCAGAGCAGAAATAGAAGTCCTAACCAAGTTGTAAGGATTGATGAGGAACCTCAAAAGGAGAAAGATTCAAAATCAGTAATATATGCACTCTGTAAAGGAACCTAAAAAAAGAGGAGCAAATTGAACACAAAATAAAGACTAGCATGGAGAGCAATGAAATTGGGGGGAAAAAAACAAAACAGTATTCTTTGAAATGATTAATAAAATTGATAAACCTCTAGCTAGACCCATCAAGAAGAAATAGAAAACACAAATTATCAACCTGAGGATAGAAAGAGTCCATCAGTACAGAACCAAATATATTTAAAAGATAATAAGGGAAGCATAGGAACAATTTTATGTCATTAAATTTGGAATTCAACAAAATGAACAGATATCTTAGAAGACATCTATTAAAATGACACAAGAAAAAAATAGATATGAGTAGTGCTGTATGTACTACATAATTTCAATTAATAATTAAGAACACCCTCCCACAAAGAAAACCCCAGAATCAGATGGCTTCACTGCGTAATTCTATCAAACACATAAGAAAAAATATCAATTCAATATGAAATTTTTCCAAAACCAGAAGAGGAAGGGATATTTTCTGAACTCACTTTTTAAAGGGCAGTTTTTCTCTGTTACGGGAAAAAACCACAAAAACACAAAAAAACAAGCAAAGACATTAGAAGAAATAGCTATAGAGTCATAGCCCTCATATTTAGATACAAACATATATATGCAAATTTAATCCAGTTACATATGAAAAGGATTATACATCATGACCAAGTGAAATTTATTCCAGAAATGTAAGGCTGGTTTAACATTTAAAAATCATTTACTATAACTCACTACATTAACAAAATAAAGATAAATAACCCATGTAATTATGTAATAAATGAAACGAAAGCATTTGTAATATTCAGCATCCATTTATGATTAACAAGTCTCAGCAAACTAAGGAGGGAAAAGAGGGAGGAAACATCTTCAACCAGTTCGAGAACATCTGTGAAAAGCCCACAGACAGCATTATATTTAATGGTGAAAGACTGAATGTTTTTCTCCTAAGATCAAGAATAAGACAAGAATGCCCTGTCTCAATACACCTATTCATTATTCATCTGGAGGCCTTAGCTAGTTCAATAAGACAAATAGATGAATGAACTAACAAATAAATGAGTGAATGAATGACATACAGAATGGAGAAGAAGAAGTAAAACTCTATTTACAAGATATACTGGAAAATCATTAGGAATACAGAGAAAAGTTCCTAGAACTAATAAGTGAATTTATCAAGACCTATGCAAAGTCAATACACAAAAATAGAATAGTATTTCCATATATTAGTGATAAATAATTGGAAAATGAAATAAAAATTACAATTCAATTACCAACAATAACCGAAAGTACAAATTACTTACAGATACCTTTAAAATGTGCAGTAATTATACATTTGAAACCATAAAACATTGCTGAGAGAACTTAAAGACCGAAGTAGAACATTCTGCTATATTAATTAGATGGAAAATAATATTGCTGGAATATTATTATTTTTCCCCATATTAATCTACTTATTCAACGTAATCTTCACAAAATTCCCAGCAGGTATATTGCA